TACAATATGCAAACATATTTAGGCTCCTATAATAATTGTAACTGATCTTAAGAGATCTCTGAGATCCTTCTCAAGAGCTAACGATCATAAGTTAACAGCGGTCTTTGTTACTTGTTATGTAATTAGTCTCTGTCGTTACACCAAACACATCGTTAAATTAAGTACCCGCTTGGTGCTCTTAGTTCATCACTTACTAAGGTAGTTTCTGGAACATAACCAAATTCATAAACATTCACCTCAAACTTTCGTCTCTTCTTTCCTTCCCCCAACCAAGCATGAAGTTCCTGAATAACCACATCACGATTCAGCCAATTACTACAACCCTAAATAAACCAACTACCAGACTCAGCGAGTTTAAACATATTTACTCCACATTTTATAACCAGTGAGCAAGTGAAAATTATGCATTATATTATCAACAGCTGGGACTTCCCTGCGAGTCATCACATTTACAGCAAAAATTCTTGATCGAATTTATTGCATTTTTTGTATCACTTGTGGATTTAAAAATAACTGTTTTGTGTGGGCTTATTTTATTCCTTCCTAAACACATTAAAATTGGAGAAAACGAAAACAAGTTACATGAAGAATGGAGACTGTGACAAAATGTTACAAGTATTAGGTGGATCTAGGGGTTAGTTTTAACAAAAGATCATCACCGAAAAGATAACTGAAACTGAAAAACTCGTGTAATACTCATGGGCTACAATATAGCAACGTATAAATAAATTAAAACAAAATATGGATGGGGAAATAATAAAAAAAACTGTTTACATCGTGTATTAGACCAATATTAGAATATGCTGCAATGGTGTGGTTCCTATACCAAGAAAAAAAAAGTGAAGAACAGAAAAGTCCGAAAAATGAGCAACAAAATGGCACCAAGTTAAAAAATAAAATAGAAAAGATGAAAGACTGAAAACACTAATAATGCCTTCGTTTGCGGATTCGATAAAAGAAGACCTGATAACTACATACATTGCCATAAAAAGATATAAAAGAATATAAAGATAGTACTTTACATGGGGAGAACAAGAGGCCACAGTTACAAATTCAGAGAGAGAGAGAGAAGCTGAAAGGATACAAAAGTAATAAGTACAACAGCCATTGGAATTTAAAAAAGTAAATGATAAATTAATTACTGAAGACAGGACAGCACAAGCTGCCCGCACCTTCACATGTGTCCTTAGGCATTTCCATTTCGCTGCGCTAGCAACAGTACCAATAAATGGGTAATCTAAGGCAGACACGTGTCAACAATCAAATCACAGCCTTAGCTGATACACAGCCACATAAGAAGGAAGACAACTATGAAGGACCATGTAATAAGGCTGAAGAAGGAAGGAGAGGAGCTCACTAGGAATGGACCAGGAAGTCTATGAAGAGTTGAACAATATTTAGGAAGGCATTCTCAGTGGAATCAGGAACACTGCTAAAGTAAAAAGAGTTTACCAGCAAGTACCAGACAATATACAAAGGGAGGAGAGGTGAAAAAAAAATAGTGAGTGAACTAAGAAAGCTTATTAAAGGCATGGGGACCAGACAAAAATCTTTTCATTGGTTCTGTGAGAGGGAGCAGAGGAACTGTGAACCATTAGCAGCGATCGTTAATATATCAATTGAGATATAGACATAGCAAAGAAATTTTTATTTATAGAAAATTTCGCTTACTATGAGCTTTATCATCTTGATAAGCTCTATATAAAAACTGTTCTTGTTTGCTATAAGTGTCTTTATACCACTATTTGTCGGCTTACGGTCACATATCCTCATCATCGATTGTCTAGAAATTACTGTCGATGGAAAGCAAAACGTATGTGGCCATCGTTAGCGTAGCGTATATGGCTATCGATGATGTGGAGGCTAGCAAAGCTTACGCACTTCATCAACAGTGTATGTCAGCTGTTTACACAAAACACAAACAAGCCCCCGTTCATTCCTTGCTCTTGACACTTCCTAGAAGATAGTGTTTGAAGGAAAATGAAAGAAAACAATACTTGCCAACTAATCTATGTTCATTCAACGCGATAACTAACACGAGCATATCCACATTGACACCTGTCAGTCGGTGCTATTGACCTTGGCAGTCGAAGCACCTCATACAGGCCAATTTATAATTTCAGCTTCGACTTCCTCTTCCAGTACATCCTGCGACAACCTATCCTCATTTTACTAAGATAATTCTCCTGTGCGATTCCTCACGTCATTTGTTTTTTAAATCTTCCTGTAAACTTACAAAATCCGCTTATTTTAGGGTGAGATGGGTTAAGCTAGTTTCCGTGACCTAAATCATTTTATATTTCACGACAAATACTTATATTAAAAAAGGGGCAGTAGGAACAGGTTGCCTGCAATATTTACCTAGAGAGGGTTTCGGGGGTCAATTCCCCCGAGGCTCGGTCTGAGACCAGGCCTCATGGTGGAACAGGGTTTGATCAGCCAGGCTGTTACTGCCGGCCGCACGCAAATTGACGTACGAGCCATAGCCCGGTTGGTCAGGTACTGACTTTAGGTGCCTGTCCAGTGCCCTCTGGAAGACAGCCAGGGGTCTATTGGTAATCCCCCTTATGTATGCTGGGAGGCAGTAGAACAGTCTTGGGCCCCGGACACTTATTGGGGTCTCTCAGTGTACTCGCGGCGCCCCTGCTTTTCATCGGGGGAATGCTACATCTCCTGCCGAGTCTTTTGCTTTCACAGGGAGCGATTTTCGTGTGCAGGTTTGGTACCAATCCCTCGAGGACCTTTCAAGTGTATATTATCATGTCTTTCTCTCGCCTGCGTTCCAGGGAATACAGATTAAGGACCTTCAACCGTTCCCAGTAATTTAGGTACCTTATCGTACTTATGTGTGCCGTGAAAGTTCTTTGCACGCTCTCCAGGTCTGCAATGTCTCCAGCCTTGAAGGGGGCCGTTTCGGTGGACGGTTACAATCCCCATGTGTCGGTCTCACATCAGTTTGGTATAAGCTCTCATGATCTACTAAAAAGATTGAGCATCAAGGAAAATCTTCCTCTCACAGTTGTGACTGCAACTGCAACACAAGAGAACTGACAACAGGACAGCTGCACCTGACAAACCTGAGCAGGTGTAGCACATTACCAAGACGCACACCCTCCCCGTCTTCAGACTGCCTTGCCTAGCCAGGAGTGTCTCCTTACACCGCGACACAGTAACACCAAAAAGTTAAATACCTGTAATATAAACTCTCACAAGAAGGGGTGTTATGAGCGTCACTAACTTAACAAAATTTGTTACCACCTGTTCCGAAAAATAAATGAGCAAAAGTAATAAATTTAGGAGAAAATGAATGTCATAAAAATGAATAAGTATAATGAAAAGTATAATACCTAACAGACTCCATCAACTGACATGATCAAGTATGCAAATCAAATTAGAGAAGTAAAATAAATAATTGGAGGTGCAATCCATAATCAGATTAAAGAAATATCCAGATGAGTAGCTATGAAGTCAAGGAAGCCTATTAATGGAGGAATAACTACCAAGAAGCTAGTAAAATAGTCAAAATGCTAATAATATATAGGTGGTTGAGTATACGTATTAATTAAGAGAATAATAAATCTCACAATACCACTGGCGAAACAATAAGCAAGTAGCGCACAATCTGGAAAGAAAACTTTAGTGAGATAGTTGTGGATAGGCATGGCTGAGAAAAATAAGAGGCTGAGGAAAGTATAAATAGGCTGGAAGAGGGGTTGAGACAGACTAATAAAAAGAGGCTTCTTCATGAAACTTTATTTAGGAGAAATGTAAAGGGCAGAAAAAGTAAGAAAAATGTGGAAAACAGAAGTCTACAGAGAACTGGAAAGAGACAAAAACAAAATTATAGAGTGGCAGCAGAAAACAAATGAAGCGAGGGAGAAAATATGGAAAACGCATGCACAATATTTAAAATGAAAATATCTCTCCCATCATTCATTTTTATGCCCAGATGAGGAAGATGACGCAATTAGCTTAAGCCTTAACTTCTAATGTTAGTTTCCTAACACACACACAAGTGGTGAAAAAGATACTCAGGAAGACTAGCAAAGGCACTGGGGAAAATGGAGAGGGAAGGCGAAGGGGGTTATTATTCAGCAGAGGTTCAGAAATATAAAATCCTATCAGATTTATCATTTTGTAAGGCCGACGTTCTGTTGACACTTAATTTTAGGTCACCTGATATTAAAAAAAAATAGCTGACATTTCTATTTCACACACGCAGTTGTTTCCAGGGTACTCATAACCATGAATGAACCTCTTACTCGCATGGAAGAGAAGAAAAATAATACGCCAGACCACTAAGATATCTTTGCGAAAATATAAGGGTTTCACTGGAATATATAAGCCTACCGAAACATGACAACACTGTTTTTGTGTGAATTACAGGATAGAAGTTGAATGCGGATTTTATGTTTTTATTTTCCATCTTGTGGCGATGAAACATCAAAATAATTTTAAAATTCTTCTACAGTGTTCTACTACTCTTGCCACTAATTTTTCTTCCTCCTCAATATCCCATTATCCCTCCAATCTAGGTCTCTATTCTCCCTAAGCAACGTTTATGATACAACTCCATACAATGTCAACAGGCAGCAATAAGACGAAGTGAAATGCCGCCAAGCAATATACTACAGCTTAATTAACTTAAAGGAAGCACCTCAAAACAATATAATATTAACAACATTTTTGACACACCAGATGAGGTGTGTAAACAAGTGTTGTATACTAACGGGGCACGTGGCAAGTTAGACACTGCCAGTTTACTCCACACTACATAATTATATCATATTGTGATATTACTTTTCGGTATAAATGTTAGTAAAACCCACTTTACTCGAAATATGAGCCGAAAACATTACGGAAAATATCAAATAAATATAATACCAAATATGCAAAATATACAGAGAAAATGTACTGTAATCAGCAAACTGCAACCTGAAATAAACATCTGTACGAATAACAATACATGTAACGTAGCCAACTACAGAGAACACCTGCATCACCACTCTCTCAGAAGCTTTGCTGCGGGTACTCGTTAAATCCTCCTCGCATCTCCCTAAAACCTGCGGGATCATATGGACTTCACAAAGCAATGAATTGTTTACATAGTGAATGATTATAACGCTTCACGAATATCGTGTAAATAACTGCAATAATTTAAAAGATAATGCATAACTACGAGGCCTCAAAAGCTGTTGTTTACTGTGTCTAAGAAAATATATTGCACGCTTGCAATATTTTTAAGATTTAGAAACGCTATACGAAAGTACTGGTTTGGAAAAAAAAAAAGTTCTAGACGAACGGAACAATCGGCCAAGTATCTTCTAAAACAGGTGGTACAAATATAAGCAAACAGGGTTGAATTTAAGGACCTACCTAGTGCTGGCCAACAGACCTTCTGCAGTGCTCCCCTATTCTTATGTTCTTAAGAAAAGTTTATTCTTGCATTTAAAGTGAGTACATAATTTCAATACTATATGAAGCAAGCGAATATACAGTGTCGGTACGAAGCGTAGTGTCACGATTTGCAGGTAGATAGATGCTGGGTAGATGTAAGCAACCAGCATACTGAGTGAAATGACATTGCTCACCTCTAGTTACTAAACATTTACAAAGTGACTTAACCGGAACTGTGAAAATACAGTGATTTCACATTACCTGAGTGTCATACTTATGCCAATCTGATTTAGAGGTAAATAATGAAGTTTAACCAGAAGTGAAATGGTCATAATAAAAACTTGCCCGTGAACGGTAGATAACAAATGAAACCTGATACTCGACACGTTTCCAGGAATGAAGGCCGTTCATAAGATCAAGTCAAGAGTCGCTGCTTCTAACATTCGAGTGTAGACACGATAGTCTAACTCATGAGAAGGTACTGAGCAGGAGGTATGTTGACAGTTTCAACATCACACAGGATATAATCCTGGACATTTTAAGTTATATCATTGTGGGAAAGGCAATGCGTATTTAAACTGCCTAAAAATAAAGTGAGAGCTACACGAATAAACACGGTAAATGATCAGAAAGCTTCTACCATACTATAATACTGTTACGTGCACGAGATATCACGCATTTGATAGGCAATAAATTACAATCCAGGCTTTCCAGTACTCAAAATACGACTTCCATCAATCCTTCACACATAATATACGAGAAAACCCCTATTATAATGTTAAAACCCATCAGAATACACACCAGTAACATGCCTGCATCAGCAATGCGATTCTTTGTCCTTCTAGGAAGCGTAACGGTGCTGTTCATGCTAGGGATGTTGATGATGGAGAGGAACATCCACAACCAGATTACTCGCAACGCATATCAACACCACCTCCCCATGCCTCGCAACGACGCCCTAAGAATTAGCAGCAGAAGCATCAAACAGAACAAGGACAAGATAGAAACTGCTGCAGAAATTGGTTTTCAATATAGCCGTAATAATAAGCTTTACATTGATAATTTGGACGATATCGATGACCAGCATCACGATGATGATCATGAGGACGATGGATATAACGATAATGATCATGAGGACAAAGATTACGAAGACAACGACGACGATGACGATTATCATAGGTATATTATGGATACACATTATAATTTTAAATGCTGAAGGTTTATTATAAATTATATAAAATACAGACAAGGTGATGAGGAATAAAAATTCAATCATTAATATGGATGAGAGATTTTCAATTTAAGAGAAAAATGCGAATAGATATTGAGAGGAAAATGCCTTCGTGAGGATATGTCGCGATTGGGGTGTCGCTAGGATCTGCAACTGCCCCAAGATTTGTTTAATTAATATAAATTTACCAAAAGGAATAAACTATATGAATATGTTTGCCTAGGATGCTAAAAATATTAGGAACAATAAATAATAAAAATGACTTTAAATCTCTACAGGACGACCTAGACAAACTTAAGTAAATGGAGTGATGAATGACAGAATTTAATAAGAACATTAGAACGAAGGAATATCGTTAGGCAGGTCTAACTCGCACCAACCACACGCATTCATATATTCATCAAATCTATATATAAAGCTAAAATTTCCCGCCCCAATAATTCAACACTGGAATTCGTTCCACTCATCTACAACTTTATTGCCAAACTAATACTTCCCTATGCTTTCTAAATCTAAATTTGTCCAACTTGAATGCGTTGGTGCGAGAGTTATCTTGCCTCGGTTTTTCCATTTGTACATTTAATTCTTGTCGTCCCTAATTCTACGTCTTTCCAGGGAGTGCAAATCCAGTGCCTTCAGTCTATCTTCGTTGGAAAAGTTTGATACATGGGATTCACTTCATCTTTCTTAGCATATTTTTCAGCGCATTTATATCTCTTTAATATGGAGACCAGAAATGAGCAGTGTAATCTAAATGAGGCCTAACCTAACTTTTAGTGACTATACTTCTTGATATGAAGACAGGATCATATTAACTTCACTGCGAACACCAATGCACTTTTGTCTTAGGTTTAGTTTCTGCTAACCAGAACTCCTAAATCATTTTCGTATTCATTTTGACTAAGTTTTCCAATATTTAGCTTATAAATATTACCAAAGTTATTTTCTTTTCCGTGTAATAAAAATGAGTGAAATCAGGAGATATGAAGAATGTAGACTAGATAATAAAATGATGAAATGCTACAGAGAAAGGGACCTAAGAGATATTAAAAAATATAAGTCACAGGAAGATATCAACGAAACTGAGAAAATCGTATGATACCCCAGTGATTTATAAACTAGCTTTTAAATGCTGCACATGTTTCTAGCTTATCCACAAAAGAATTGAGAGATAAAGGTTGTTTTATATAATTCCCGTCTTTACTTCTCTCCAATGATGTAAAACAAGAACAGATTCATAAGAGGGGAAATAATTTGTGGATTTTTCTATACACTTTGCATTTTCGTTTCACCTATTCGTCCCGAATAGGTAAAACTCGATTTTGGTTTAAATAGCAATGCTCTTCTTGCCGAATAAGGCAAGCGAAAATTTGTGCATGCAATAATTTCGCAAAAATCATTCTGAACCTAATGAAAAATATACATTTCATTGTGTTTGTTAAATATTAAATTAATGTCAACTTATCTAAAATATATTTAGTTGGATTAGGCTAAATTAAATTGCGCTTGTTATAATAAGGTTAGGTAAGTTTTCTAAGGGTCGTTTGGTACAAAATTATTAATGTTTACATTAACATAAACGAAAGAAAATATCTTTAAACGTGTAAGAGAAAATTTTTAGAAAGGATTTAATTTTTAATGAGTTCTAGTTAACCGACCAATTTTACCTATAACACACACACATATATATATATATATATAATATAATATATATATATATATATATATATATATATATATATATATATATATATATATGCAAAACAACCACTGTGAAAGAATAGAGAAATTCCAAGCGCTTTCGTGACTACTCACATTATCAAGGAACTATGATAATGTGAGTAGTCACGAAAGCGCTTGGAATTTCTCTATTCTTTCAGAGTGGTTGTTTTGCATATTCTGAAATCACCTGTTTACTGTGATCTTATTGCATATATATATATATATATATATATATATATATATATATATATATATATATATATATATATATATATATATATATATATATATATATATAATGATATAGGGAGGTGTCACCTCTAGAACTTGACTGGGGACCTTCATCCTCAGAGAGGAGAATAATTTCAGTTTTCGTTACATTTCAGGGATTGAAAACATGAGATGAAGATTGCAGATGATGACGTGGTCAATGACTGGAGCAGTAAACGCTAAACCGTATGTGTATTGCGTACCATGCGGGGCTTTACTAGGCTACTGCTACGTACGTCATCACCAATACAACAGTAACCAGTGAATATTGTCACGAATATCTTGTCAGCCTTAACCCAACAACCACCTATTATACAGCATATTTATATAGCTAATAAAACTATTCTTGATATGGCAATGGTGTTCCTAACCCTGACAAAATGTCAGATGCTGGTGCTAGACAGATATTGACCAAGTATTGATCGTGTTGAGGATTAGGTAGTCCTGCTGGTGTTCTCAGTACATACTGTACCTCAAAAAACTTGTGTTTTCTCACCCGACACTCCTTCAAGTAGCGTTTTGACGCTGGTGAATGACTCTTGATGCAGGTAACTTCTAGCATGGGCTAATGGGCAGTGCAGTGTTCCTTCATTCTTATGTTAACGCTTCCCTTTTAAATGCAAAAATCCCCCACACATCTGTTGTCTCTTCCCACACTTTGCCTCCCACAGGTGTTCTCGTACATAGGTGTTCTATCCATACTACTTCACAAAGGTATACTCGTCTATTTTACACGTAACACTGAATATCAACACGCCTGCCGGAATATTGTTAACACCTGTTATTCACAGAAATAGCAACAATAATTTGATGAAATGGAGCGATGCAAATCATAATTACCATAAAAGAGGAGAATTTGCAGACCTCGCCACCTGAAATCTTCGGTTATCAGTTTCGGCAATACAGCATTACAGAACCTGGGAAGCGGAATAAAAACAATGTCCTGAGTTTTAGCTACGTTGATTTTTAGGCCATCAGGGCATAGCCATCAAGTGACATTATTCATGAAGTGAAGCACCCTGGTGGACGAAACGTTTCCTAACGTTTTTTTTATACATTTGTCGGTATTATATACCTTTCGTTTAATAATCACATTGGTGTTATACTACACGCTTGTGCCTCCACAGCATGTGAGCCTGTTGCTTTCCCACCCCGTTGGGAGGCCCGTGATGGCCTCCCAACTCCCCCAGCGCAGTATAACCCCTACAGGTCTGGCGCTTCCCCATGAATGCAATATTAACAATGAGGCGTCACACGTATTCTCATTGCATTTCTGTCACTGTAAACTTATTTATTACCTTTCATGTTCACACGTCTGAAATGTGTTATATCGAAGTCACGAAAAAAATAACGAAACGGTTACAAATAGAAAAAAAGCAACAAAGATGTGAAGAGAAAAAGCACACAAAATGTATGCATTTACTGTAAAAGTTTCGCTTGGAAGAGATTCACTAAAACACTATAATACTAGTCCATGAAGCTTGTAGCAGCGGGGTCGAGGAAGAAGAGAAAGAGTTTAAAGCCAGTCGACTATACGACGGTCCTTCAGGTACATTACCAGTCAAGAATACTTCAATCCCCAAAACTGGGACTAAACCTTCAGCATACATACACTGCGAGACAAATACATCCCTGAGCATATAACACTGTTATAAGAGAAAGAGGACGATGAGACAGCGGTGAAGGAGAGAGAGGAAAAAAAAAGAGGCGGATGGTGCAACTTTGATTAAGAGAAAAATAGGACCGGTGTGGGATTCTGGGATAAAATGAAGTAATTGGCCTTGTGTTTCATTAAGTAATTTTATTCTTCCCTCTAATCTCTCAAAAGGCAAAACTAGGAGACAAAAACCTCGGACCTCCATACGTCGACATAGTGCTTTACAGCCGCCTCAAAGCACTTTCACCTCTGTTAGCCGTCCTTGTAATACATTTGTTAACTCTGTTAACACATGTTGTGGTACCATTGTTAACATAGATTGTGGTACTATCTATTAATACAGGTTGTGGTACTATCTGTTAATACAGGATGTGGTATCATTGTTAACACAGGTTGTGGTATCATTATTTACACAGGATGTGGTACCAGTGTTAACACAGGTTGCGGTATCAGCATTTTAGCTGCAACACCGGCAGAGAACAATAGGAGCAACCTTCAAGTGGAGTGCTTTAATGCTGAACTGCTCTTAATCAAAGTAATTGGAGCTTCCCTCCCTTTCCTTGTTTCAAATATTATTACCCTTGCCCAGGCGCTCTATGACCATACCGGTTTAGCGCTTTCCATAATAATAAGATTAGACGACGAGATGCGTATACTTGACGGCTAGGAAGAAAGTAAATCGATGCCTCCAACGATCCTGGCAGTGGACAAATTTTATGCCTTGACGCCTAACCTACGTGATTCCTCCAGAAACAACACAATAGTCAATATCAAACAAGGACCAGCACTGGCAACATAAGACATAGTATTAATAACACAAGAGCTAACACCGCTAACAAGAATCAGCACCAGTAACACAAGAACCAACATTAATGACACATGAACCAGCAGCAACAACAAGAACCCGTACCAATAAAATAAGAACTGTGACCTGCGGTTAAACACTGCTCACATAACGGCGAGGGCCTGGTTACCACAGAGTAAAAACATGGACGATGTTTCATTTCCACCTGTTGTCTATGATCCCCATCATAAAACGGTCCGGGTGTTAGTCACTGAGTGGGTCGTCATCCAGGACACACCTAAAAGGCCTAGTCATAGACCGGACCGGGAGGCGTTGAACCCCGGAACTCTTCACCAAAAACTCCAGATAACCACACTAAACAAAATAACCAGCACATATACACATGAACCACTCAAAGAATCAGCAACATAACACAAAAGTGAACATAGTAACAGAACCTGCACCAGACAAAACAAAGGAAACAGCACCATAACTCAACCTCCCACCATAACACGATCCATCTAGTTACACAAGAAATCAGCACCAGTAACAAAGAACTAGCACCAGTAACTAAAAGAACTAGGCCAGTAACACACAAGAATAACTACTTAAAACGAAACCAAACACCGCATCGCACCCTATCAACAGAAACACCTTGACAACATCATATCGCAAAATGAATCAGCCTCCTCAGTATCACAACCAAACCAGAAAAAAACTAGCAACAGTATAATGCCATGATGGACCAGGAACACGAAGGTATTACAGAGCCCTAGCTCTTGCCATCTCTCTCACGTTCCACCTCCCAGCCATGATCAGGCAGATATTTATAACTGGGTATAACTTCAGCCGAGCTGCCTAACGCATTAGCCGCGGAATTTTAGCAGGTGAGGGGATAGAAGAGAGAGTGCTTTTGTAAATACAGCCGGGAATGCCGTGGCGCGCCGTAGTGCCACGTCAACATCCCTTCTTGAAACATCATTTTAAACACGGCAACCACCTTCCATAATCAGCTAATATCTGCAAGGTAGATAGATTCATAGCTACTGGCCTCGCCTCTTAACTTTTATCGACTGACTTGACGAATAACTGGACTACAGGACCCGAGCATACCTACTCTCGAAACTTCATAGTGATTATCTTCGCCTTTTTCGTCTAGTACGTTCCATTTACCACCCGAGTCTGAAAAAAGCACTTCTTACAAGTCCCAAATGGCTCATGTACACTAACTGGCATCTGTACCCACAAGTTCCCTCAACGCTCAAAGAGCGTTTATCCCATATAAAGAAATTAGATCAAATAGAAATGACCCAAAATGGATGAATAATAGGCTCAAATATCTACTAGGGCATAAGAAAGGAATTTATAGGCGTATCAAAAGAGGTGAGGGTCATCTTATGAATCAGTATATTGACATTAAGAGGGACATTAAAAAGGGGATAAGAAAAGCTAAAAGGGACTATGAAATTAAAGTTGCTAGGGATTCTAAAACTAACCCAAAAAGTTTTTTCTAGGTCTATAGAACAAAAGTTAGAGATAAGATAGGTCCCCTTAAAAATAACTATGGGCACCTTACTGACAAAGAGAATGAAATGTGCTTGATTTTAAATAATTATTTTCTCTCAGTTTTTACACAGGAAGACACTAACAATATTCCAGTAATTAATTTTTACAGTGGGCTAGAAGAAGATAAATTATGTAACATCACAGTCACTAGTGAGATGGTTGTGAAGCAGATAGACAGACTGAAGCAAAATAAGTCGCCGGGTCCTGATGAGGTTTTTTCAAGGGTTTTAAGGAATGCAAAATGGAACTCTGTGAACCATTAACTAATATTTTTAATTTATCTCTTCAAACAGGTGTAGTGTCTGATATGTGGAAGATGGCTAATGTAACTCCTATTTTTAAAACAGGGGACAAGTCGTTACCGTCAAATTACCGCCCAATAAGCCTGACCTCAATTGTAGGCAAATTACTAGAGTCAATTATAGCTGAGATTATAAGAAGCCATCTCGATAAGCATAGCTTGATTAATGATACTCAGCATGGATTCACAAGAGGCCGGTCTTGTCTAACTAATTTATTAACTTTCTTCAGTAAAGCTTTTGAGGCTGTTGACCACAATAAAGAATTTGATATTATTTACTTAGATTTTAGTAAGGCTTTTGATAGAGTTCCGCACCATAGACTGTTAAAGAAAGTGGAAGCTCATGGCATTGGGGGAAAAGTGCTCTCGTGGATCGAGTCATGGCTCACTGACAGGAAGCAGTGTCCATAAATGGGGTTAAATCCGAGTGGGGATCTGTAACAAGTGGCGTTTCACAGGGATCAGTCTTGGGCCCGTTGTTGTTTATAATATATATCAATGATCTTGATGAGGGAATTACTAGTGATATGAGCAAATTCGCCGATGACACAAAGATAGGTAGGATAATTGATTCAAACGTAGATGTTATGGAACTTCAGGAGGATTTAAACAAACTCTATTCTTGGTCAGAAAAGTGGCAGATGCAGTTCAATGTAGATAAATGCAAGGTTCTGAAGCTTGGGAGTGCCCATAACCCTAGTACTTATAAGTTAAATGATGTAGAACTTAGCCATACAGATTGCGAAAAGGACTTGGGGGTTATGGTGAGCAGCAACCTTAAACCAAGACAGCAATGCCTAAGCGTACGTAATAAGGCAAATAGATTACTGGGATTTATATCAAGAAGTGTAAGCAACAGAAGTCCAGAGGTCATACTGCAGCTTTATACATCATTAGTAAGGCCTCACCTAGATTATGCAGCTCAGTTCTGGTCTCCGTATTACAAAATGGACATAAATTCGTTAGGAAACATTCAGCGTAGGATGACAAATTATACATCATTAAACT